AAGTGAGCTTAAGATCCGGTCAGCTCATGTGCAATCAAGGTGTTTTATTCATGATTTAACCACCACACACTTACCTTATTTTATTAAGTATGTTAGGTAAGCATATATAGAGCTTCATTAATTTTCTAACAACCTCTTAAATCCTCGAATAATCTTGCCCCTGTATATTGCTTTTAATTTTCACTACCATGATCATCTACAGCAATAAAAGTAATAAATAAAATAGAAAAACCTAGTAAGTTCACTGCTGCAACTGGGAAGAAAAGTAGGCTCTTTCTCCCATAATGAGTGGCCAATGCCTAAAGTCTTATCAATTACGGCCACAACCTCAAACATGAAGTCATAATTAGTTAGGCTTCTTCTTCGTGTGTTGTTTCTTATATTTTACAACCTATGATATACACCATCAATTATGGCCACAACCTTAAACTGCTGTAACTTGATTTGTTTTATCTTTTATCTTATCTTGTTTTTTTTTAAACACGGTTAATTTTATTTGATGCAAATCAAGATTCACCTTACAGGTTCTCCAAGCTTCAAATCAAGCCGTACCTTTTAGTTCTTGCAAGTTCTTTGAGTGGAAGAAATCCACATTACTCTTTCATGCCACCTCTGATGTAACTCTGAGTTGAGACTGCTTTTAGATTGTCAAGATTCCGAAGGCATGAATTTGGACAAAAGTAGCAGCGAGAAATCCCAACCAAATACAGATTGCGTCATGAATTAAGAACCATGATAATATGAAGTATAAATCTATCATCTATTATATAATAGATAGGAGAGGAGCAAGTGTTTTGAAAAAAGATAGAAGCAAGCATCAAAGCACCCTAATAAATTCCTACCATGTGCCGAGCAGCAGAAAATGGTGGTTTACAAAGCTGAATTATTAAATATCCCACCAGCTTTCAAGTATTATAAGTCCTTGTACATGTAAACAAGTCATATAATATAATCTTTTGTATATTTAAAATTCATCCGTAGCTCACCATCATCATTGCCTCGTAAAATCTAACAATGAGGTGAAATATTCTAAACTAAAGTACTTTAATGAATTAATTGCCCATAAATAAGCACTACGAGAATTCGTTTCATCAATGTTCAATATGGATTTTATTGGATATGGCAAGCACTTTCCTCATCCGCCATGGAACTTAAAGAGGCTTTGGTGATTCTTCAACCCAAGAACTTAAGGTTTTGGGTGATGCAGTAGGAAATGGTTCCACGCTATGTATTATATGCTATAATGGACCATACAAGGAAATGAAGATTTTGGCTTTGGGTTAGCTAGATTATGATATGTTGCTCTCTCTTATGACTTCGTGTTATGGTTTTATATTATGTGACATGAGGTATCAAGGCAAGGAAAAAATAGATAATAATGATTATCATATTAGCTAATAAAATAGATAAATTGGTACTGCCTTCTTTTAGGACAGGTCTGAATACTACGTTAATAACAAAACTATTATTGTTGTCTTCAAAATCTTATCCTTTGTGTTTATTTTTTTTTCTAATGCAAGTGGATATTTCTTTTTTCATGACTCTCTTCCTCGTAAGCTAAAAGTTCTATGAAATATAAAATTACTTTGAGTTATTACCTATTTATCTTCTTTCTTTTTTTTAACTTCAATATTCCGTGTATAATTAATTATTCAGTGGAAGAGCTTAAAAAACAAATTCTTGTAACCAAAGAATCCACCGAATCTGAAACTTTTATGCAAGATAGAGATGTGCATGTCTAATTAAATTTCTTAGCAAGATCCTTCATGATTTGAGAGAGAAATTGTAGCATGCATGGTTTAGGTAACATCCAAACAAAGTGCGCTGGAGTTTTTTTAATTATTAGGTTTTTTTAATATAATAAACTAGACAATATGGGATTCACTTTCCCTCTAGAATAAACTGAAAATCATTTTTTGGTTTATATTATATGATTTTATTAATAGTAGCATCCGATCCTATGTAGATTCAATTGTTAATTTTGTGAGCTTAAATATACAATTCTTGGCAACCAACGAGCCATTCATTTTGAAATTTTTTTCACAACGATATATATATTTTTTCTTTTATGATAATTTCATAGCCAAATCCATCATAACTGGGGACAAATGATAGTATTATTCAAGTAACATCCAAACTGAAGCTCTTTTTTTTTTTTTTTATCACAGTTTACACACACACACACACACACACACACACACACACACACACACACACACACACACACACACACACACACACACACACACACACACACACACACACACACACACACACACACACACACACACACACACACACACACACACACACACACACACACACACACACACACACACACACACACACACACACACACACACACACACACACACACACACACACACACACACACATATATATATATAGAAAATTCGCTTCTACCTTTTTCATAAATGAAGCAGTGAACCAAGATGGGTTTCTCATTATCTTTTGAATCACACTAATACCAATTTTGGTTAATTATCTATAATTTTTTTAGGACAAGAGTCCTAGTGACTCTTCTCCATTAAGGAACCCCGGAACGGGGCAGTCTCAGTCATACAAGGTACAAAAGGCACTAATAGATATGGTTGAAAGCAAGAACGAGAATTGACCCTGGATCTAGGCCACAATTCTTAGAGCGTTAAGAGTGAACTCCAGAGTATTTGTCTATCCTTTCAGGGCCTCTGCTTTGTCGAACTACTCCAGCTGCCTTCAACGAAAACCACGGGCTATGAGCTCTTTCACCTTTTCAAAACAAGGGATTGCGAATACAACAATCTGAAGCCTCATTGATATCGGAGTCAATGGTTATTTTGGTTTGATTGGTCTGCTAGTTCTAACAACTTTCATTCTTTACATTTCTTCTCAGCTGCTTTGGCCTGTAGCAGCAGGTATCTGCTTGGCTTTAGCAGGTATATATCTGGTTCCCTGCTTCAAGTATTAGCAATATTATTTTCAATATAAATGTTTTTAATTTCTAACAATAGTCAAGGTTGTGTGATTGATACCTGGATTGATACTATTAATTGTGCTAACTTTAATATAAAAGCTATGCATGAACGTAATGCTCATAATTTTTCCTCTAGACCTAGCTGCTGTTAAAGTTCCATCTACATGACGAGAAGGGCTTCTGAGGGTAATCCGAGATGACCTAAATCCTTCTTTGCTAGATGATAGCTGATGGAAAAGGAATCTAAGGAAATCCATAGATTTCTATTCCTATATGGCCTAAACTACTTTCCTTGGCGATTGGGTCCGTGATCAAGTAAGGTAACATTCTATTTCACCAATATAGCCATTTCTGGCTTTGTTGACAGTACTGCCGAATCGGGCTTGCAAGCTTCCACGAACATCCAATAAACCATAAAATACACAGGTGTATCAGCTTTAATTCTAGAAAACCTAACCATATTGTTATTCTGAGCATATTTTGTACATGCACATGTGAGTGTAAAAAAACCATCCTTGACATCCAAGAAACCATTCAATCTACAACTTTTATGAGGTAGACAGTGTGGATATCTATTCTCAACCATCCAAATTTCATATCTAGATCCCTCATAATTTGGTAGAATGGCTGTTTAGTAAGTTCTTATGATTGCTAGTTTTTTTTTTCCTTGTGAATCAAATTGTTTCTGCTCTTTTTTCTTTCTTTTATATGATAAACTAGATATGTTGGGCTTTAGTATTTCTTGGAATTACAATAGAACATTTTTGCTGAACTTTGTACGCACATACACTTGAGACTCCATTTTTATTAAATTAACTGGAATTAATTTTCCATTTAAATTTCATGCGATCGATTACTAGAACAATGGTCATATTTTTCTCTTTATTGCTGATTTAAAGTTAACCAATAGCAAATAAATTGTTTTGCATTATCCAAAACAAAAACAAAAAAACTTCTCTATAAAAAAAATCCCAGAACAAAATATTCGGAAATGACAAACATTACAGCGCATATATTCAGGATTTGCAACTAGTTTAGAAGTAAAATGGAGGGTGAAGTAACCTGTTAATGTAGATATAAAGGAAGCAGGAGGAGGGTAAGGAGCTGCTAAATATTTGAACTTATTCTTGCAGATAATGATAATCTCGAGTACGAACGGTTTTAATTTTTAGGGCAAGAAAACTAAAGTTCTTCCTTACAGACACTGAGTACATGGATATGATGACCATAATTGATTTCATTACCAAAGACAAATCTTCTTTTGATTATTTGCTAGCTCTTTGTATGTTTACCAAGTGTGAGGGGATAAAAACAATGCAGAACCTTCAATTTTTAAAAGCAATAATCCTACTTCCCAATCGGATTTCTAAAATTGTCTGTAAAGAAGAGCTATAATGAATTACTTTATCTTAAAAAAATAAAAACCATTGTTGGCAGAAGGACATATAAAGTATGATTAATAATAATAAATAAATTACTAATCCCTGTTGTTGCCTGGAAACTTATGTATATCTTAAAGGGGAGTGGTTTTAGTACTAGCAACATGCTAATGAACAAGCTCTTGGTTTTTCTGTCATTTCATTCTTTATGCCAGAGGTTTTGAAGACAGGAAAGTTATATTTATTTCAGAAATCTAGTTATATAGTTCATTCCCAAGAGATCTAACTAGCTCAAGAAAGTCGGCTAGAAAATTAATACAACTCTTGGTGGTTAACAAAAAAAAAGTACATCCAATGAAAGGAATCCATGTTTTTATTGAAAACCTCGGTTCCTTACTACCATATTTATTCCCTCCGAAAAACAATGCAAAAGACACAATCCCATGTTACCAAATCCCACAAGATTTACCTCAAATTGGTTAAGAAAAAATAAAAAAGGCATGCCCCATATTGTATATGTTACCATATCACCAACAAAAAGAACCTGGTTGAGATCCAAGAGGAAGTTTAAATAAAGAGAGAAAAACCAAAAGAAACCCTAGTTGATGTATCAGCATCATTGAAATTAAGTAAGTTGCAGTTTTCAATTAAGATAGTCAAGACATCATCAAACCATTTCTCATAAAGTAGAAGATAGTTTCACAATGAACAAAGAGGCTATTTTCAAGGAACCATCAGAATCTAAAAAATAAAAAGAAAAGGAGAATAAATGACAGGGAAAGCGAGAAGTTATACCCTAAATTAAAACATCACCATAAGATCAAGAAGGAGATGGAGAAGAAGTAACATGATCATGATCTTGAGGATAGATAATCCATGAATTTTGCTGACCTTTTATTATTCAACAAGCCCAACAAAGCCAACCGAAGAACGCTGCTCCAATCCAGCAAAGCCACAATTGGCTTCCATAATACGACACATCACAAAATCACCAGCAACCCATTCGATTATTTCTCTCAAAACGGAGACCTACCTCCTGAGTTACCTGCCCATCCATTCACTGGCAACTGCACGTTAGATGGCATATTAAGCGGCAAATTAAAGAACGGAAGCCCCCCGGAAGCCGCTCCCGCTTCATTAAAAGGACCATTATTCCCAACCCCAATCCCACCACCAGCACCACCTCCACCCCCTCCACCACTCTGCATCAGCAATTGGTCATCCTCATCCAAAGGCAGCCGCTCATATGCCACGTTTGTGAAGGATGCTGCAATCACTATAACTGGACCTGCTGCGGTAAGCTCTCCCACCACGCTTCCTCCAACCACCTGGCCTTGTCCTCCAGCAAGGAAGATTGTGAGGCTCGTCGCGCCTGGAGGGGCTGGAGGCGGCAAGAAAGATCCAGACAGAGATAAGATCTCAAATCTGCCATGTAGACTCACTATAGATCCTGCTGCAGCTGGTTGCCTGATGCTAACATTTGTTACTGTTCCTGCTCCGCTCAGTATGCAAATCCCACGCTGCCGTCTACGCGCGTAGTTACCCACGCACTCGAATACATCGCATCCATTTCCTACTTCAAGAATGTGGGCACGCAGTGTGTTTGCACTCTCGCGAGTGATGATAATCGGAGGCTTCTCTTTATTTTTGGAACCAGGTGGACGGCCTCGAGGCCTACGGGCCATTATGTCTCCTGGCCCGGAGTTGGCCGCAGTAGCAACCAGGTCAAGGCCTTGATGCAGGCCATCGTCGGGGTTGTGGTCAGTAGAAAAGCGACCAACACTTCCAAGACCGTCTCCAGCCTTATTGGGATCCTCGTCTTCAGGATCAGGCTGGTGCTGGAGCTGAAGGTCAGGTATGTGATGAAGCTGGTGAACGTAGCGAGAAGTAGTGCCTAAATCTAAACCAGCCATGCCAACATCAAAAGGAAACAAAAAACAGGAAATGATTTTTTTAGAAAAATAAATATTTTAGATGATTAAAAACTGTTTTGGGTTTTGTTTAATGTTGAAACAGGATACAGGAGAGTGAAATTATAAAGAAAATAGAAAGGGAAAGGGGAACACCGGGACTCGAAGAAAAATATATGAATATATAGAGAGAGGTTACATGTATATTTTGGAGAGAAAAAAACAAGATAAACAAGGGGGGGGGGGGGGGGGAGAGAGAGAGAGATGAAGTGCAGAGAAAGGGAAAAGGGAAGGGAAGGAGGAGGAAGAAGAGGGGACAAAGACTTGAAACGCAGTAATTTCTCTCACACCCTAAAGTTTAAATATATGCATAGAATAATGGTTTGTGGACGAGTTTCTTATGTTTCTTCTAATTTTTGAGAAATGTGTACAAGAAGGTGGATGCAAGTCTCACTCTCCTTCAAAAGGGTGGATTAAACGCAATAGCGTTCCTGAGGATGGAATCATTATGTTATTTTTTTTGGTTAGCCTCTGGAATATATATTTTTTATTTGCCAACAAATATAAAAGCAATTCTCCCAACTATTATGAAATATGGAAAAAGACCAACAGAACACCTTTCTTTTACAATTATAACATGTTCACGTTCTTTTCCTCCAAATATTAAGGTGTTTAGCTTTAACTGATTTTTCTAACATCATATATCTTAAAAAATGATTGCTATTTTAACACAATTATAGAAAATGTAACTTAAGGAAGCAGAGGTTGAAGGGGTTTTGGTCGGTTCTTAATCACATGTGACTTGATGGAGTATCTAGTGGTTTGGCATAAGTACGCACGGTTTCGATGAAAGTCCACAGGTAATTAAGATTGACAGAGAGTTTTCTCAAGTCCTGAATGATTCATCCATTTTCCTTCTTCACCAAACTTGTTATTTCAAGCAGAGGCCTTCCTGATCTCTGTCCTTTGTTCCTTGGTTCGGATATGAGCCAATAAATCATTCCGTTTAATGGATTATATATTGGTAGGCAATCCACATTTCGCCGGCCGGCAGTCTTGATCTCTAGTGCAGCCATATGGTTTCAAAGGGATTAAAAAGTTTAAGTTTGAGAAAGGGAAGTCAAAGGAATTAAATCATTTTATCTTCCGTCATGTTGAGGTGTGGATGACTCGGTGGCTTGTTATATGAAAGATAGAAAGGTAGGTTTTGATTATAAGTTATAAAATTATCATTAAACTATATAAAACAACAATCTATTTTGAAAGTAATATATGAATTGCTTAAATAGTTGCTAAAACTGACATGGTTATGGTTAGTGAAATTTAAACAAAATAAAATTTTGAAACCTAATTAAGAAAAAAATAAAAAAATAACTAGAAAACAATAATATTAAAGAACATCTTTTAAGTCTATTTGGGACATCTTCTAAACTAATTTCACGGGAACTAGACCTATAAAACATGCTTATAAAATTTAAACTTGATTCGATAATTAAATTAAATATTTTATTTTTTTCTTCTCGAATATCATTTGATGAATCTATAATTCTTCTTGCACTTAGATTTGTTCATTTGGTTCATGAATAATCCATGTCAATTGTTATATGTCCTACTTCATTCAAGAATCAACAAAGCATCTTTTTCTATATTACAAGATGGTTTGGTTGTATTAATCAATCAAGTATTTCTTGATCCATTAAGTTACTTGTCCTTTATTTTTTTCTTCCAATGAAAAAAACATTATTCATGAAGTAAATTATGAGTTAAGGCTGTTACAGCCTTGTAAAATCAAATGAAATATGAGTGTTTTAATACTTTAAACCTTAAGATAATATGTATATGTCTTAAGTTGCACCACTCAAGAAGATGAATAGGTAAAAAGAAATAAAGAATTGAAAGCAATAAGATAAATGAAGGTTGAAAATATTAAAAGAAGATATTTTGAAAGAATTAACGAAGTAAATTTACATACTTGGAGTTGGCCAAATTTTTCATGTATTAACTTTCCTATTCATATTGATATAGTGTTTGAATTCCATCTAAATAAGCAATCTATATCAAACAAGGAGGCATTTTAAATCCTAATACAAATCAAAGTTTTCCTTTACTAATACTTACATTAATTCTAACTAATCTAAACCACTTAGTCAAATTAACCCTTCAAGGACTCCCATTCTAAGTAGGATTGACCCCTCTAATCATTCATGTGAATTTAAACTCCATGATCAATCATTTTTTTGTATCAATCATGACTTCTGATCATCTAATCAATTGTTCTCTAGTTTTCTTCCTCGATTAGGAATTTTCAAACCTTGTTGATTATTGTTCATGTTGTTTTTAACCTTATTTTCTCTATTTAGATATAGATAATTACTATTCATATTTGCTTGACTTCGAACACCATTAATGAGTTATATCAAGAATAGAGCTTTTTTATTTGGTGTAAAAATAGAAATAGCTTTATGGATAGTGTAGCTAACCAATAATGCTTGGATTTTCAATGAAATGGTTTTGGATTGGGATAATTTTTACTACTTGATTTTTTCACATGGTTGTTATCATATATAAGTCTCTAGATACTCATTTTTGTTACACTGGTATAAATTTAATAAGGAATTCTAATGATGAAAGCTCAATAGGGCCAACAATATCCCAACCAAACCCAAGAAATGGAATAAGAGAAGGAGATAAAAAGAGGTGGGAAGAACAAAAGAATGAGGAAAAAAAGATAAGCCCAATTAAGCCTATACTTGTTTAATCAATGTAAAAATAAAAAAAAATAAAAAATAAAGAGAGAGGGGGAGAGAGAGAGGAAGGAAGTGAAAAAGAAAAAAATAGGGCTCAGCCCAACTAAGGCAAGAGAAGAGAAGGAAAAGGGAAGGAGAGAAGGAAATTATGGAAGAAAAAAAGAAAAAGCAAGCCCAATCGAGCCCATGCTAGCCTAGCAGAGGCCAAATAAAAGAGAATGATATAAGAAGAAAAGAAAAGGAAATAGGTTAGGCCTAACTAGACCTATTATATCTCAACCGAGGTTAAAAAAAAAAAAAGAACATGCATGTCTAACCAGACATATTCTAGTGCATCCAATGTTAAAGAAAATAGAATGAGAGAATAAGGAAACAAGGTAGGCCTTACTAAACTTATAATATCCCAACCAAGGTCAAATAAGAAAAAAGATGAGAAAAGGTATACCTAACCAAGCTTATACTAACACATCTAAGATTGAAGAAGTGAGAATGAGAGAAAAAGAGGAGGAAATAAGAGGGAAACATACCAGCCTTATATACAACTTAACCGAACAACTCAAATGAATCTAAATTGAAAAAAAGAAAAGAATGAGAAGAAAAAAAGGAAAGAAAGAAGCCCAAACCCCCACTTTTCAACCCAAAACTTTAACAAAGTTTATATATCTTTTTGTAAAAATGACATCATGAAAAGCCACCACTATTATCTTTTATATGCATACATGAATTCTCATGATAAAAAGTGATACATCAAATGCCACCTTATTCTTTGTTGTGAATATTATCCAAATCCTCCTTTACAAAATAGGCACATGTAGTTAATAATATCAGCATTCATTTTCATAGTTCATATTACAAGATAATTACATGGTAATAAACAATAAAGTAATAGTTTAACATAATTATTTCATAAAGAGTATGGAATCCTATTTTCTGTGATAGGTTGCAACCCTACTTCTTTTTTATTGTTATAAGATCCAAAGCGCATGGCTAATTAAAAATATAAGACCAGGTGTATGGACTTGTCAAACTAGGTCCAAGTGCTTGAGACTTTTTTTCTATTTTTAAGGGTTTTTTTTTCAATTGAAAACACTCCAAACAACACGTTATCTACTTGTTAATATTCTAACAACTAGAAAGGTGGCTGAGAAATCAAGTTAGGGTTTTTCAAAGAAAAAAATATATTTTTAACCTAATTTCAAGTAAACATACATAATAAACATCAACAATACATTCATAAACCAATAAATCAATTTAGAACGCCCTAAAATATGTCTAGAATTACGAAATCAAATTGAAAAAAATTACTTCTTCTAGCAAGATGAAGGACTAAAACCCTCTTAATGAAACTTCTCTCATTTAATGAAACTCATTGACATGAAAAATTACCTTCCTCATGGTCAAAAAGTGGCTAACCATGTACTTTCTCTCTCTTTTGTCATTTTTCAATGATTTTCTCTCTTTCTCGGATAAAATATTGAAAAAATTAGAAAAATAAAATTTTGTATTAAAACTAAAATTGCAAAAAATAAAGAGACTGGAAAGGAATTCAGAGAAAATTAGGTGGATCAAAAAGAACTTTTCACTCTAATTTTTAAAAAGCCACTTGGTCCCGTGTTTTATATTTTGGCTCTTTGTCTTTTAATTTGGCATTATATAAAATATTTTATGTAATTGGTCATTAATTTGGACAAAAAAGTATGTAATCATAAAAAAAAAGTTTTATCATCAAATTTAAAAAAAGAAGAAAGAAGAAAGAAAGTGGCACCATTTTAATCCACAATAATATATGCAAGTGAGGTTCTGGCCTAGCAGTAGAAGGGGCTTGTCCCCTTCCTCCGCACCTGGGTTCGAATCTCACCATGCACGCCTGTCACTCTCGCGGTGCCTTACCTGCTCGTTGGGCTTGCAGGATGTTCAGGGGACCGTGGGGATTAGCCGTGGTGCGCGTAAGCTGGCCCGGACACCCCACGTAAATAAAAAAATATATATATATATGTAAGAAACTATATAGTATTAGAGTAAAATGAGTTCTATTTTAGTTTTTGTTGTAATTATAATGGATTACTACTGCACCTACTCTGTATAATATAAAAACTAAACAAGAAAAATAAAACACTTAAGGGTACGTTTGTTTCTTAGAAAGTAATTTGCATTTTAAGGGTGCTTTTGTTTCTGGAAAAATGGTTTCTAGGAAACTACTTTCTAAATTTTTCTGTGTTTGTTTGTCATTAGAAAAATTGATCAATAAAAAATACTTTCCTGTCAAAGAAAAATTTAACTTAATTTCATGAAAGTGTTTTCCTTTTATTTTAGACGGGAAATACTTTTCACAAGTTGTGAAAATTTTAAAAATATCATATTATTTTTTAATTATGTCAAATTTAGTCCTTAAACTTTTGATGCTATATATTTTGTTTGAATTTTTTTATTCAAATTCATCCCTTAAAATTTGATTTAATTTGATTTTTATATTAACTTTGATCCTTATTTTTATGATTGCTATTTACTTTTCTCTTATTATTTTATAAATTAAAATTTTTTATCTATCAAATTTAGTACTCACTCTTTTGATTGATATTTATTTTATTTAAAATAATTTATAAAAGTATAATAATTATTATTATTGTAATTT